TTCTTTCCAAGTCTATTGGAACCAATTTTCTATCGTCTACTTCTGCTCTTGGGAGAAGAACTATAAGTATGGATATCTTTAGTCTCAAGACGAAATAATTATTTGTACCAACCCAAGTATCTGGAAGAAGCCATGAAAAATAAACTGGCCAGTATCTGCAATTGCTAAAAAAACAAATTATGTTTAATGGTATACAGGCTTATTGGTTATAGAGACCTGAGTACTTTTTTCATTTCATCATGATGCCAGCAGTATTGCCATGCTTATAATTGATAACCAGGGTTTATATTCAGGAACATATTTCATTTGTGAAATGTGATTTAAATAATTAGAGAAATTCTAAGCCTGGATGAGATTTGGGGGCTTTAGCTCTAGAGGAAGGAGAACCTTGATGTAGGAACATCTTTCTCTGCACAGAAATGAAGCTGGAGAGAGTAATGGCAATCATTTGAGCTCTGTCCCTGAAGATATTTATCCTGAGGGAACTGCAGAAAGCCATGGAGAGAAAACTGTAGAAATGTGAACTCTAGAGAACACGAAACAGTCATGGCTTCCTCAGAATGGTATTTTTACCAGAAAAACGTAAAGTACACTATTCAGTATCCCACTTGAGCCCAGGAACTGAGGGAGTGTACAGGAACTGTGCACTTTTTCACGTTTCCTATGAAGGATGATGCCTGATACTACTTTGCAAGTCAGCTTCATAAGCATGGCATGTTCTCATCCTGATTTGTGATGAAAATGCATGAGTAATCTTTACCAGGTAAATAAGACGGTAAGGGAGCGTACATATGCATTCTGTTAAACTTTACATATGCATATTTCAAACCAGACTGACACTTAAGCCTGGGCCTCCAGGGCAGGTGTTTAAAACAGGGAAAGTTCTTCAGACTGTCTGCCTTGAGCCATAGAAAATGAAACCATAGAGCAGGCTGTAAGGGTTAGGCAGAGGGAAAACAACTCTGGCTATCCTTTTCTGCCTAAAGCTATTTCCAACTGTCAGAAAGTTGAAATATTGGACCAAATTATATTACCTAAGTTAAAATAAGCACACCCAAGAATAGATACATCTATATATGTACATCTCTTATGTAAAAGTTGATATCCCTATTTCTATATTATATGAACCAGTATTGGAGGATAAATTAATTGTTAATATGTTTTTAACTATTTGTTTTCACTGGTTAATAGACTATTGGCATGTACCCCAAACCATTACCCTTTAATATTATTACTTCCAGCATCTTTGAGGAGCCCATCAATAGAAACAAATAAATACTTAAAAACAATAGGTGTTTTGTATCTAGTAACTGTGCAATTTGTACTGTAGCATCCTACCCACCCATTCATCTTTTTTTTCTTTGTTCCTGTTTTTGTAGGTCTGGGGATTGAACCCAGCGCCTTGTGAGTGCTAGGCAAACACCCTACACTGAGCTAAATCCTCAGCCCAGCAGCCCCATATTATGTATCGTAGTGATAGCTGGTTTTTAAGTGTGTATTATCTGCCAAGTTCTTGGCAATTTCACAAATGGTCATAAAATCTGTCTTAACAACCTAGAGGTAAGCAAAGTTCACTTGATAAAGTAAAGGTTTAGCAATTCATGATATGCCCAAAGTCACACAATGAGCAAGGGCAGAGCCAGGTCTTGCTCTCCCATGTTTCTACATTCTAATTCCAGTGCCCTCTTTAAGCATACATGAATTAGAGACAAGAATAATGAAAATTACAAGGGACTATTAGGATCACAATCTAATTTTAGAACCTAAACTATTACTTAAGATATAGCCTACAAGGCTGAAAATATATTTATTGTATTATATTGTAAGTCTTCCTCTCATTTTTATACTCTGGGCACAAGTTTGAATTCAGGGCTTCGTGCTTGCAACAGTCACTCTACCAGTTGAGCCACACCTCCAGTTCATTTTGCTCTTGGAGATGAGGTCTGTTTGCCCCGACTGACCTTGAACTGTGATCCTCCCGAACTCAGCCTCCTAAGTAGCAAGGATTACAGGCCTGAGTCACTGGCACACAGCCCTCAATACAGGAATTTGAGAGACACAAATATTCAGACCACAACACCTGGTAAAGCAAGTCTCAGTCTGTTCTTCAACCTCTGCTAAGAAGTCCCATTTATTAACCATCTGCTGCATGCTCAGTGTTCTACCTCTATTAGCTTTAATGGTCACATCTCTGTGTCTTGGTTGGATACTGTTGTCACCATTTTAAAAGTATGCTTGGAGCCAGGGTTGGTGATGCCTGCCTGTAATCCCTTTGGGAGGCTGAGGCAGGAGGATTGTTGAGTTCCAGGGCAACCTGAGCTATGCAGAGACCCTGTTCTTAAAGACAAACAAACAAACAAACAAATATAAGTAGTATAGCATAAGAGTGAAGCAAGATGAAAGAGTAACCTTGGATCAAGAGTAGGATCAAGACTTCTAGGGTTTGAATCTGGCTCTATACTACTAGCTGTGTGGTCTCAGACCATTGTGTAATTTCTCAGTACTCTTGTATACTCATCTCTAAAGTGGGATACAATCACATAAGCTCATACTGTTCATAGGAGTGTAAGATAAGTCACACAGCCATAGGACCAGGGCTTCTAGTAATGCCCAATGGATGTTAGCTACTATTATTAATTTGGTGTGCCCTAGGGCTGAATCTGAGGGCCTTCTTTCTACTATGTATATCTGTTTCTTCCCTAGGTGATCTCATTCAGCCCCATGACTTTAAATATAAACTATACTAATGACTGCAAAATGTATATCTCCAGCCAAACTGGATCTTTCCAAATATAAGTCAGCTCGTATCACTTCTCTGCTCAAAATCACTCCCATTGCTTCCCATCTCTCTCAATGAAGAGGCCAGAGCCCTGCACAGGGGCTGTGAGGCCCCATATAATATGCCCTACTTTTTTGATTTGTGTTCTAGCTCTTTCCACAGTCTTTCTTTTCTTTGGCCACACTGACACTGCTTGTTGACTCTCCCCACATACATAAGCACTCTTGCTCCTTAGACCCTGTGCACTTGCAGTTCTTCCCAGTCTGTTCATCCCCAGATATTCAGATGACACATTTCTTCACTTTATTCAAGACCCTGCTCAAATACTCTCATGAGAGAGGTCATCCATGTCCACCTGAAATGAAAGAGGACTTCCTTTCCTTTTCTTTTCTTCTTACCCTTGCTTGAATTTTCTTTACAGTACCTTATAATACCTATTACCGTTAATATCCATTCATTTGTTTATGGTCTGTTGCTTTTCTCTAGAATGTGGTGAGCTGTAGTAAAGCAGGAGCTTTGCTTTATTCATAGCCCCTTAGTCAGAACTTGGTATTTGGCAGACATTCAATAAATATTTATGACTTAACTATAATTATGTTAATTGCCCAGCTAGTAAAATCTCTTGTTCTTTCTACTCCTCCAACCTGCATACCATGTCAGGAAGATACAAATTTCATTATGAATATATACTACTTCCTAAGACTTTTATAATTAAGCTAGAAATTTTATGCATACTAAGGGTTGATTTGCTATTCAGCAAAATTTAACAAATATTTGTTGCACACCTGCTACATGCTCTTGGATAAGACACAATTTTCAATTCACTACTATAGGGTAGAAATTTATCCAAGAAACTCGAAGCCCAGAAAAGGTAAATACTTATACTTGTGTGTCTCCCAGATAACTGTTGTTTCTATCTATTGTGTTAGAATAGAACATTTGATCATCCCTTTTTTTCCCCTCATCTTTTTAAATCTTGGTCCACTCATTTGCTTAACCCAAATTTCTAGTCATTTTTCTAGATGTTTCTCTTTCCCTTATTCTCTCTAGCTAATCTGTCTGCAAAGACTGTAAACTACAAAATCTACAAAACTTATCCTGGGACCATCTACTTCTCATCACTTCCTTCTCTGTAAACTCAAATCCCAGGATAACTCCACTTGCCTAGGCTGTCAGCAGAATTTCCTAAATGCCTTCCTTGTCACCCCATTTGCACCCCTTTTCCATTGACAGCCAGAGTGATCTTATAAAAATGTAAATTACATGCCACTCCTCTGCTTAAAAGTTTCAGTGGCTTCCTTTTGTTATTCCACTAGAAGTTATTGTACTCAGGAAAACTTTCCACCCATTATCCTAGCCTGCAAGCCCTATTTGATTTGACCCTGATCGTAAGCACCATCTTCTCTCCTACTGGTCCCTCTTGCCCATACATTCTAGCTACATGGGCCTTCTTTCATTTCTATGGGCGCAGGAAGCCTTTCCCTGTCTGAATATTCGTGGTAGCCACTCCTTCTTGTCTAAATCTCACCTTAAATGTCATTGCCCCAGAGAGGCCTTCTCAGACTGCCCCCAGAAGAATGTAGATGCAATTGCTTTATCAGAAAGTTGTAACAACACTTAACATATAATGAGCACTCAAGAAACCCTGGTCAAATGGTAAATCTTTGTCTCAACTTTGATGACTGATGTAGGATCACAATAGTTTAATAATACATCTTTAGTAACTCTCTCCTGTTCATATTTTCAATTGCTTCCACCAACACAATGGACCAAAATGGCAGAGAAGAATTGGTTTCTTTCCTGTTTCTTGGTAACTACTTGGTCAAGATTTGAACTCAGTTCAATTAATTCCGAATCATTATATGAGGGGGAGGCAGAAATGAAGACTTGAACAATTGTCATTTTCTTGCTTAAAATATTGAGGAAATGGGAAAGACAATTCATAAGGTAAACATATTTGGAGTTGGGGATGTTAGATAAAGTAGATGAGGGGAGAAAAATGTTTCAGTGACGGAAGAAAACTAAATCTGAAGGAGGCAGAACACAGAAAGCGCTCACCCCATGCTACAAGCATCCATGGTTCTGGGCTCGCGTAACCCATCCTGCCCTGTAGATAAACTCTAAGGGAAAAAAGTGATGCAGTGAAGTGGATGGGGAGGAGAGAAAGGATAGGGTGGGGCACCAGGACCAGAGACGCGAAAGAAGCTGGACAAAAAAGAGAAAGACCGAGCAGAGCAACACAAAAGCAGCCTCAGATTTTGCCGGAGCTGCAAGCGTTAAGGGTAGGCGGGGAGTGACGCGGTTTGCGTCTGAAGCGGCTCCTTGGAGTCCACAGCACCCAGCGCCGGAGCCTCGCCTTCCTTTCTCCCTCTGCAGACACAAAAAGAGAGGCAACCCCTGGACCACTGAGAGGGACCCATCTGCACCATGACTGAGACCACAAAGACCCACGTTATCTTGCTGGCCTGCGGCAGCTTCAATCCCATCACCAAAGGGCACATTCAGATGTTCGGTAAGTCCACCCCCACCCCCGCCCCGAGACTGCTGCCTCCGCTTCCCTCTTTTCCCCCCAGGCACCTGTGTTTTCCAGGGCGATTGAACGCGAAGGCGCGCGCCCCTCGGGAGGGGTGCGCCAGCTGCTCCCGCAGATGCCAGGTCAGCCCTTCCAGTCCCCGCTCCGGGAGGGGACGCGCACTGCGTGGCCCAGGCTTTCCTAGCCAGGGGCCAGCCCGCCTGGCAGAGGGCCAGGGGGTGGGGGAGGGGAGGGACTGGAGGTGGGTGTCATTTGGGGCGGGGTGGGGGTCCTAAGCGAGAGAACTGGGGTGCCGCGGTGCGGTGGCTTGACTACTTGGCTGGCGAGGATCGGGTTGGGGGCAGAGGTTGGGGCACCGAGAAGGAGCAGGAGGGCTGGAGTTAACGTGCTGTTTGTTTAGGATGGGCGCCGAAGCACACTCGCACAAGACACTCCAGTGGTAGGGGCTGGGGCTTCAAGGAGATGAACACGGGGCTTGGCTGATGATTTGGGGCGGCCCAGGGGCGAAGGTTTGGGGATGGTGGACCGTGCACTACCCACGCTGGTGGATGCTGAGTGAGGAGGGGGCTTTGGCCTGGTGAGGGGGGTGGCGGCAGGGACCTGCTGCCAAAGAAGGGAGGGGGCGGCGCGGCCTCTGCGGGAGGTCCTTTCCCAGCCGGTGTTGGTAGATTCCGGCCTGAGTTGGCTGAGGCTCTGCCCAGGGCGGCGATGGCACCCGGCAGGCTTGCGGCGTGCGAGTGTAAGGATGAATGTGTTTGTGCGCGTGTGCTCTCGTGTAGTGGGGTGGGGGCTTAGAGAGAGAGGGGGAGAACGAGCCGGGGCTTCTGGCTGGTGGTATAAGGTCCCGCAGAGGAAGGGGAAAGGGTTGATGGATGCCTGTTGGAAATCTCTCGCCACGCGGCTTAGCGGCAGTTCCACTAGGATCCAAAGGCGCGGGTGGGTGTGCGTTTAGACCCCGAGGGAGGGATGCGGAGGTCACTTTAGAAGCTGGAATAGAGCAGAAGTTAGAAGTTGGGAGTGCTTTTCTTTTCTGGGACTCGGGGAAACGAGTTGTGGGCGAGAGCCTGTGGGCTGGAGATGGAGGAGAGACCGGGTGGGAGGCCGTGACCCGGCCCTCCAGGGGCGCTCTCCAGAGACGCCGGTGCTGAAACGCAGGGCGCGCCGGGCTGGCGGCCGGCACACGTGCTCACCCAGAGCCTGAAGATGCTTGAGCTTTCCTAGGGCTGTTTAATGAAAACCACATCATATCTGTAAAGACTGGGCGGAGGCTAAAAATACTTGTCTCTAAAACTAAAAGGTGCGCTGAGCTGGGCCTGCTTGTAAAAACCTCATGAAAAGAGTACAGAATTACTTCGAAGAGAGGGCAGATCTGGTGGGCACATACACAGGATAGAAAGAGGAAGCTGACAGCTCATTCCTTCCTACTTGTCCTTCAGTTTTTAAAGGTGTTTATTCAGCGGTAATGCCAACTCCCCTGATAAACAGAGGCCTTTGTTCAGCATCAGGTCGGATTAGAGGATCTCACCAGTCTTCCAAAGGAACATCAGTCCCTAGGAACATGTTTTGTCTTTGACTCTGGTATCTTCCTCTTCTTTTTTTTTCTTTTTTTTTTTTCTTTCTGGCAATCTTATGTTGTTGTTGTTGTTCTTTATCCCTCTCCTTTTATTGGGCAGGGGCGGGCTTTTCTGGGGGAACTCCTTAGCTCTAGGAATCTGTAGGCTCTCCTCCTTTCTTCCTGGATCTAAGGTTGTGCTTAGTCTTGCTGTTTTAGATTGAAACTGGGACAGATTTAGACTGAAAAGCAACGACTGCCTTGCAGCTGAAGAGTTTGGTAGCAGTGATAAAGGTTTTTGTTAATTGGATGCTGACCAGTCAATTATCCATGAACTTTAAGGATAGAATATAGGAAAACAGGCGTGGATTGCCACGCCTTTGACAAAGGTGATTATACTTGGTATTAGCACTGAGGACCAACCCAGAGTGTCTATCAACAAAGCCCTTTGAGTATCCATCAGTTCATTGTAATCCAAATAGTGACACAGAAAAAGGAGGCGATGTGCTCAACTGTGACTTGAAGCAGTTTATTACCTAATGAAACATTTAGCACGTAAACATGTGAAAAGGAAGCAAGAACAAGACAAAATACATATTAGACTATTTTTGTATAATCTCTTACTGGAATCTTTAAGCTTTTGGAAATTTTTTGTAATTTATTTTTGTAGAGCAGTTTCTGGTTAACAAGTGTATGTGTCACTTCTTTTTTTATATGTCACTTATATCCACAGTCTTGTGAGACAGGCATCATTATCTGTGTCTTGCAAATGAGATACTGATAGTCAACTAAGTGACTTTGCTGTGAACATACATGGAGAGCAGGTGACAGAGCTGTATTGAAACCCGTATTCCTGACCCCTCTTGCAGAGGCCTCTGGACTGCCAGAAAGGCAGGAGGAAGTGCCCAACCAATCTTTTGATAGCATAATCTCATAAACGTTCTATTTCCTTCAACATATGCGATTAGAATGAAATTGACCATCAACTACACAAATCCCCACATGTGGCCTTCCTTAAGAGCTCTTCCCCATCGCTAAAGAATCAAGTGATTCATGAGCTATTTCCTTCTTTCAAATGGTTTTAAAATTTCTCTTCCCAAGAACACAAGAATACCTAGCTTCATTTACCAATTAAATTATTGAGCTTTCTTTAGGTGCCCAAAATTTGCAATAAAAATTTAAAAATAGATTATAAAACATGACTTTGAAATAGAGCTTTTAAATCCAGTTGTTTACCAGAGGAAAAAAAGAAGAATTATAAGGAAAAAAAAAAAGAAGAGGCATTTAGAATTAAACAACTCACTCTTTGTAAAGTAGCAGCCCTTCCTTTTTTTGATGGGACTAGGGTTTGAACTCAGGGCTTTGCACCTGCAAAGCAGGCACTTTACCACTTGAGCCACACCTCAACCCATTTTGCTCTGGTTATTTTGGAGATGGGGGTCTCCCAAACTACTTACTCTGGCTGGCCTTAATCTCAGCCTTCCGGTAGCTAGGATTACAGGCATGAGCCACAATTCTCAATATTTGGAAAATACTGTAGAATGAGCTTTTCTTTTACTCTGAAATGGGGGTTGATATTGTTTCTATTTGTGACTACAGAAACATATAAGAAAAAATGTTTATGATAGAGATATCTGACATTTATATACTCAATTGTAACTAAAATGTTTCAGGAGCGAATAAAAATTTTTGGCAAAATAAACCCATAATGATGTCATATTTCATGAATATGCCGTATTACATAAAAAGAAATTGTGAAGCTAGAAAACTTTCAATGTAAAATCTTAGTTTTTATAACTTTAAAGAACGTTATACTGAAGTATAATCTCTCCTATAGTAAAGTACAATCTGTACTTAAAAATTAAGAATTTACATTAAATATTTATATTGCTATATTTGTCAATAAGTCTACTAGTGGGAAGTCAGATAGCAAGTTTAAATAGAAAAGAAAGGACTGATAGGTTAGTTTGGTTATAAAAACTAGAAGGAAATAGTTCAATCACAGGAGAAATAAAATAACTGAATTTTTCCAATGTTTCTATTTTAAAATACTTTTGTTTTGAACAACTGAATTTTTTTGACAGTACTGAGGTTTGAGTTCAGGTCTTTTTGCAGGCACTCTACCACTTGAGCCATGCTGCCAGCCCAAATGGGATCTTTCGCTCCAAATTCTGCTCTTCTTAAAGAGTAATGAACAGAGCTCTACTTATGTAGTTGGAAACGTAGCTCCTGTTGTTGCAGCCAGAAATCATAAGAAAAATGAATTTGAGTTGCTACTGATATACAGAGAATGTCAGAAATCAGGAAACTTTTAAGGTGCTTGGAATGCTTATATAAAAATTTCACTAAGCACAATGTAGTACTTAATACTTTTGCACCACTAATTTATTCCTACCTTGTGAGATAAGCTGTATAATATCATCCCCCTTTTCAAATAGCAAAGCAGAAGTTCAGGTGTAAGACCAAATGGTCAAGGACATAAATAAAAATCGGGAAAGAACCAGCTTCAAGATACGCAGATTGTCTCTCATCTATGACTCGTTTTCATTATTCTCCTATAGCTGCAAGAAAGATATTGCAATTCACTATCACCTCTGAAAGGAGCAGCCATCTGAACTTAGCTGTTAACAAAGGATAATGAGATCCCCTTTTTATTTTTTGCCTTGGCAACACAGGCCAACAACAAATGTTCAACAAGGATATCTGTGTCCAATATCTTATGCTTATAAGTACTTTTCTTTTCTTAGTACTTTCATGTTTTCTACCTGTGTCATCAGGACATTCCTTCTTCTACTTCCCCTCTGTTTCCTTCCTCCCCACTCTCTGTAACCTAAACTAACACCTTTAGATTTTTGCTTCAAAGGTATTTTCTCAGACAACTGCCACTGGCTCCTAATTTAAGTCTGGCTACTCTGACATCTGCTCCCACATCACCTTATGCTCTTCCCATCTTATACATCTTATGTTTTATGACTGTTTTCCATGCTAGAACTTAATCTCTCCAAGGATGGAAATATCTGGTTCCATCATTGACATGTTTCCCAGTACCTGGCATGGAGTAGGCCCCTTACAGTAGTTATAGAATAAATGGAAAATAAATGAATGTATAGAATCTTGTGCCAGACAGAAGAACAGCCAGGTACAAGGGCTGGGATGATAAGACAGACAGTCATGGTATGCCAGAGTAAAGAAAAGTTCAAGATGGTAGGACTGAAGAGGTAGGTGGAAGTCTGAAAGTCTGATCGGTCATGAAGTCATGTTAGAGAATTTAGAATTTAGACTTTGTCCCAATGCCAGTGAGAAGACTTTGCATTGCATTTTATATAAAGGACTAACATAGTCATATCTTTTAAATTAAGTTTTAATTGAATTTTGCATATGGCCTGGTAAAGGGTAAGAATGTGGCAACAACTTAGACTCTTCATTT